AACACATATAGGAATTGGAAAACAGGTTAGTATAGTTTTCTTCCATGGTTTTAGCGGTCCTGTATATTTGAAGGTTTAGGGGCGAATGATTTAAAATGGGCCTATTTTAAAAAAAGTATAAAACTCGATTTCGTCTAAATTAACATGTAAAATAATAATACTTGAAAAACTTTATAATAAAGAAAATATTTGAATTCATTAAATTAAACATAATCAAATCACATTTCCGAAATAACCAAATAAAAATTTATTTAAATACATTTCTTGCTGAACATTGTGAAGCAAAGTCATCAACTATAGCTTCATAATCAAGCTTTTCTAACACATAATGTTCAATGCTTAATTTAGCTAATCCATAAAGCCTTTCTTGAGACATTGTTGATCGCATATAATTTTTTAGAATCTTCAACTTTGAAAAACTTTTTTCTGTAGTGGCCACAGTTACCGGTACTATCAATAATATCCTATAAGCAATTGTTGTGTTCGGATAGCAACTCATAGTCTTCACAAACTCAATAATTTGAAGGACAATGTCTTTGTCATCCGGTAAAACCTTTTGCAATATTTCTCTATAAAACGCAACAGAAGAAGCATGTATATTTCTCTGTATCTTGCCAAAGGTGCGTACATGACTTTATAAAAAGGGAGTTCCGATATGTGTGAATCGGTTAACTCATAAAAGGACAAAGAATCCTAAAATAATACCACTACAATAATTAAGAAAGGATTCTTTAACATAATTCTTTAATTGCTACTCCCTCCGTCCCAAAAACAACTTCTCAGTTTGACTAGCACACACATTTAGGTAGATTAAAATTTTGGTTTGACTTTCCCAAAAGTTTACTGTTTTGACACTGTTTGGACACTGTTTAGCACTGTTTGGACACTGTTTAGCACTGGTTGTCACTGTTTGACACTGTTTTGATGTTGATAATTTGCCAAATAAGGAAGTGGGAAGAAGTGTGAAGTTAATTTTGAGACATCCATTTAAGGAAAGCGGGAAGTTGTTTTTGGGACGGAGGGAGTACAATAAAAGAAATATGGCATAATTCTTTAACTGCTACCTAACTCCTTGAAGCAGGAGTTTCCATAATTTAATTAGCCGCAAAAGAGCTTCCGTATTCTTGGGCATTTGGATTTTTAGGCCGGACAAAAAGTAGTAGTTTAACTCTAAAAACTCAGCCTACTCAAACTTAATATAAAGAAAAAATTATGGGCCTAAATGTTTTTCACTTTTTTTGGGCCTATGTACCCTGCCCCCTGCCCCCCATCCAGGGCCGCCTCTGGTCAAACCCATTAGCTTTATATTATTTTTCATTTTGCATCAATTCAACACATGTCTTTTTTTTTAAATATTCATCTAAACCTGCTCGTGTAGCCGACGTGTTGTCTAAACAACAATATTTGGTAAAAATAAACTAATAAGTGCTGAGGCCGGAGTTTAAAAATATAGAAGCTACCCTTTAATTCAATAAAACCTTCCGTTTGGTTTGCGTCATGGCAAGCACGTCAAGAACAAAGAAAAACAGTGCACCAACAAATTAACCAACACATTTAAGAAGATGACCTCAAAACTTTCTCATCATTCACAAAACACAACATCAAGACATCATAGTGGGTGACCTTGGTCAATTACACCATTTTAAAACTCTTACCATTCAAATCATAGTTATAATTCCACCATTTACGATATCCTGATCAAAAATTTATAAGAAAACATTCTAAAACTGATTTCTTTATTTGTTACTACTACTCCCTTCGTCAACACAAATTACTCTTAATTTCTTACTTTATATATCAAATTTTTATCAAATTTGATTCTGGTTTTTGCGATTTTGTAAAGTTTTTAATATAGTTTCTAAATATGTAATTTTCATAAAAAAATAATTTGAGTGCGGAAAGGGATCCGTTTTCTTTATCGTCATTCAAACATCGTAGGGCGTAATGACACAATAATAGGGGGACAAAGATAGTAGTATTTCTTTATTGATTACAATTAGACAACTCCCCGTATTTACCGACCTGATACAATTTCGATTATTTCAACGTTAAATACAATACTACGGAGTATGTGCTAGCTAGTACGTACAAAGGGGTTACAGATTATCATCGTATCAAGTATGAAGATTCTTGAAAACGATAACATTCGAAAACGGAAAATCACACTTTTAATCCCTCGAATAATACTTACTCTAAAATGTAGTCTCCGTATTTTTAAGTTTATAAATCTCACTGCTTAATTGTTGAAATTATTGTATATCAGTATATGTGATCTTTTGGATCTAGCATTTGCAATGGGTGAGAGGAACATATTTACAACAATTCACACAATTGTGAGTTGACATTTACCCAATATTTGAGCCTTTGAGGGACAGAAGGTGTCAATTTCTCTAAAAAATAGAAATGTACTAATAAAGAATAAATAAATAAAAAAGAGAGCGGAAGTTAGGATGATAAATCTTACACTTTTGCCAGACAAACAAGCGTTGTTTTCTTTTTTGAAATTCGTAAAGCGGTAAAGTATTAAAATCTTTGTGTGTATTTGGTGAGAACAAATTAAAGTAGAGACATAAGAAATGGGGAGGAGGGAATTCATAACTTTTTTAAAAAAATAAGTTAGAAGTTGAGAGAATTACTGTTGATCCAACAGAGAAAGTCTCAACTTTAACCCATTGTTGCCCACAACCTCCATCTTTAAACTTTAGTGGTATTTATCATTCTTTGTGGATGAAATTGGAGACCTGAGCTAGAATAAGAGTCTCCTTACAATTACGTGATATAGAGAATTGAAAAAATGAAAATACGTCCTAAAATCTTAAATACTCATTTCCACCTAGCAAAAATATGGCATGGTTGACATATAAAATGATTAGTGTTCTAAACAAGTATGTAATTATTTTGGATGTAAAATTTTAATGTGCAAACTATGAGTTTTTAAAGTACCGTGAACATTGTTTTCTACGCATTGTATTAAATTTGCTGTAATAGTGACTGTATAGTCATATACGAAGTATATTAATCCCATTGTTTTCTACAAATTCTATTTCAATATGGAGTAATATTAAAGTAATTTAATTTTTATGCTTTTTATTTTAATTTATAAGTCTATAAATTATTTTAATTAAGCTTTGGGCTTTGCACTCTATTTCACTTCATTATTTTCTCTTTTGCCTTGTTGCTCCCCCTATATTTTGGGCCTCTTATGCCAAACAAAGGCTTAAGAATCTTTGAAAAATGATACGGAGTAACCATTTTGCACAATTTCAAAAAGAAAAGAAGCTTTTAAAAATTTTACCGTCCACTTTCCCAACGTTTTAGATGGAAAAAAGTCACAGTACGCAGTAAAAGTGTTCGTCCAAACAGTAAATAAATCTTTCCAGTTATGTAATAATTTATGTTGAAGACTCTAATCAACCCATACTTGATCACCATCATCATGATACTCCGCCCAATCAACCCATAAATTAAGAAGACTCTAATCATAAACCACGCGCTTTCATACATTGGAGTGTGTGTTCAAATAAAAATAAAAGTTAATGTTAAAATACAAGTATGAGAATGATTTTCGTAAATAAATGAACATTTTTGCTATAAGATGTTTATATGGCACTTTTCCACAATGATACAAATATTTTGTTCAAATGATATATTATTGACTTATTTTCATATTAAATCAGATCAGACTAAACCAAATCAAATTTTTATAGCCCTAAAGAAATAAAATAACTTTTTTATTTGATCCAAAATATACATATACTACTTATAAAGTAGGTCCAAAAGTTAAAACTTTTATGCCTCTTATATTTAAGGTACTTTCGGGTTTTTTGATGCAATTTTGTGAGCGTGTTCTCCATAAAGTGTAGATTATGTCCACCAAACTTTAGATTAAATTTCATTCGGAAAATCAGTTACATAAATTATTGAAAGAAATTGCAGATTCTATATAAAAACTGCGCAATTTTAAAAATATTATTTACTATACATAATTTACACTTCGGAAAAACGCTCACGAAATTTGATGAAAAAATTCGACCCGGAAGCACCTCCAATAAATTGTAACTTTTAGATTTATCTTACAGGAACATTCTCCTATATATATATTACCATCATTTTTAATTAAATTGGACATTTATAATCTTCTAAATTAGCATCTATGTCCCTGAATTATCTTCCGGTAATAAAAACATGGAAAAATTCCACTTTTGGTCCCATGACTATTATACCACTTCCACATTTAGTCCCTTACTTTGAGATTGTCCACATTTAGTCCGTGACCATTATCCCCTCACCACTTCTCGTTCTTCCGGCCAAAATTTCAGCAAATTTAGTCCACTTATCAGCCTCAAAATATGTCTTTGCATTAAATTTTATATAAGGTTGGGTTTTTCATATCAGTGTTTGTATTAAATTTGGTTTTTCATACTTAAAAGTCTGCATTAAATTTGCCAGAATTTTGGTCGGAAGGACGAGGGGTGGTGAGGGGATAATGGTCACGGACTAAATGGGGACAATCTGAAAGTAAGGGAATAAATGTGGAGGTGGTATAATAGTCATGAGACCAAAAGAGAATTTTTTTCTAAAAACATCGATGATCAATAGTATACTTCGTATTATTTTTGAATAATTAACTATCAAAGTTAATAAAGTTTGACACAAAAAGTCAGTAAATTTAATTGAGAGACATGCAACGTACTCCCTCTGGTTCTCAAACAACTTCCCACTTTCCTTTTCGGGAAGTCCCGAACTTAAGTTCACACTTCTTCTTATTTTCTTATTTGACAAATTATCTACTCCAAAACAGTGTAAAACAGTGTCAAACAATGTCCAAACAGTGCTAAACAGTGCACTCCACAGTAAAGTCAAAATGTGAATGTGTTAAAGTGAGGGAGTATCACGAGTATATAATTACTCCCGATGTTATTTTAGAAAAAAACCAATGTTATAGCCTCCATCATCTACCATCACATAGGTTTATATATACAGTATATAAAAAAATTGACAGTAGAATATTATAAGTACAAGTTAAGAGAGCAGATTGAATAAAATACGGAGTAAGTGAATATGCTGGCGCTATTGGGATGTGCAGTGTCTCATGTCTCACGTTCGCCGATTCGAACGTACAAGAAATCAGGGAGCCTCATGGAGGAGCCGGAGGCGGAGAAGACCATGTTTTCCGGCAATAACAGTACTGAGATGATGTTCAACAGCATTACCAACGGCGGCGTGGTTCAGATGAAGCCGCCGGCGGACAATCAGTCGGCCGGAAACAACAGAGTGATGGTGGTGGTGAATCAGACTCCTGAAGCCAAACACGCCCTCCAATGGGCTCTTACCCACACCATCCAGACTCATGATACTGTGGTTCTTCTCCATGTCGCCAGCCCCTGTACAAAAGGTTCTACTTCAATTCTTGATTGCATTCATTTCGATCATTTTCTTTTTCAGTTTATGGATATGATTTCTTTCCAAATAAACTCTGCTTTTTGAAGAAATTACATTAATGTAATCGGAGTATAGCGTATATAGGACTTTACAAATGTGATCATCTATGTTTTTATTATGAAATAGGACTATTTAGGAAAGTTTTTTTTGTAGAACATTAATGATTAACTGCTCTGTTTTAATGAAAATAATAATTTCTTGTTATTTGATGAAACAGTTATACATTTTGTATTTTATGGATCAAATTATTACTTGTATTGCATTTATGCAACAAACTTTTAATGCAAAAGAATAAAGACAATCCCAACAATGAAATTAGTATGCGTTTTAATAATGATGATGTTGATGATGGTAATAATAAAATTTTCCGAATGTTGCATAATGCAGGAGGAAACTCAAACAGTGAACTCAATAATGTCAGGACCAGCCATGATATTCTTTGTTCAATGGAAAGCACGTGTCAAACTATGAGACCTGGGGTGAGCTAATATCTATATTCTTTAATTTGTTGTTATTTATAACTTCCAATTTATTAACTTTTTCTAAGATGTTTTTGAATGCTAATTATGTTCACTTTGATATTAATATACGTAGTACTGGTATTTAATTGTTTATTCATCAAAACTATAAAAGTTCATAATTTGACACCCTGTAGCATTAAAATAGATTTATAATGTTATCAAAGTAAAATATGTGAAAACTTAAAAGTCAAAATATGTTTCAGTAACTTTCAAAGAAGAGAGAGTAATATGTGTAAAGTAATTCATACTTTCTCACAGCTTTTTTCTGCATTCCAAGGTGGTTTTGGGGTATTATATTCTAAAATATATGATCCAAGTTTATAGTATTCCAAAACAACTTATACTTGCCTTAGTTGTTTTAGTTTTGCGGAATCAATATTAAAAATAAATCATTAGTGTTTTCAACTTTTGGATTTTAATTTCCATAAACTAAAACTAGGAGTTGACAAATTTATATGAAGAAAAATAATGACATGATCAACCACACAGTCCTTTTTGGAAAAGAATGTATATACCCGCACGGATAGATCAGTTGGTCGAGTGGTGGAAAAGTTGGAGATTGACCAAGGATCGAAACTCGCAGTGACCGTGTAGAGGTTACAGTTTTTGTGTGCTGAGCTACTAGACATGTGGTCCGTGCGAGTATAAGGCCTACAATCATTGGGCAAACTGAATCACCGTGACTTACATTCTCCCAAATGCCTTTTCGGGTCGGGGCATGTGGGAGCCTTGGAGTTGGGGATTCAACCTTTTGAAGATAGAAAAGAATGTATATAATGGACCTAAGTTTTAGAGACTGAAAATTAAAGTAATGGTGAATAATAATAATTTTGATAGGTGCATGTAAACTGTGTATTGCAACAAGGGAAGGAGAAGGGGAGTGTGATAGTTGAAGCAGCAAAGCAACATGGAGTGAGCCTTCTGGTTTTGGGACAGAAAAGAAGATCAAAGCTGTGGAGGCTGCGTTCAAGGTGGTCAAGGAGAAGGGCACAGGCTAAGGTCATCAACTATTGTATCCATAATTCCAGTTGTATGGCTATTGCTGTCAGGAGGAAAAACAGGAAGCATGGAGGGTATTTGATCACCACTAAAAGCCATAAGAATTTCTGGCTTTTGGCTTAATTAATCATATAATATAAGTAATTATCAATCTCTTTAATTATACTTTAATAACTAATGTGTACGTGGTTTTATATATTTTGCATGCCTGCCTTTCTTCACTTTGATGAAGCTAAGGATTTTTTTTTTATATTAACTGAAGGGTATTCCAGGTACCATTTTTGCTATATTATACTTGCATTACTCTTTCTATATATCCTTAAGAGGTTAGTGATTTCACCATTTCATGTATCCAACTTTAATTCTTTTTCATTCTCTCATTACTTGAATCAAGTTTTTATCATATTCTAATTCAAATTTGAACCTTTTTATTTAAGTATTATATCTATAGATTTAATTATTAACTTTAGTTTTGATATTAGAGATGGATAGTAGAGACTGATGATGTAGCATTATACACTAATATTTACAGTGCAACATAACATTATTATAAAATACGGAGTAGAACACTAATATGCTTACTTTAATTAAAAAACGATGAATCCAATAATATAGACTTAATATCCATTGATCAAAAACCTATGAGCTCAATACATATTGTGAGCTAGCTGCTAATACACAGCGGCGAACCTCTTCAATGCAAGGGTGTTCATGTGGCACCCAAAATTATAAAAACAATGGGAATATATATGTCTGAATTAGAGTTATAATTAATTTATTATTATTTTAAGGAGAAAATGTGTAATTGTGAACGCTCATGATATAGATACTAGGTTCGCCAGTGCTAATATATGTACTATATGCTTAACCTCAATTTGTTGATGTTTTCGTTTTGTTCCATCCAAAAAAAGTGTTCAATTTTACCAGGGCCGGTCTTGGGGCATGGGCAAAGTGGAATGCGCCCAGGGCCCATTGCTTCCCTAGGGCCCATAAATTTCCATTTATATATGAGGAATATTTTGGTCAGTCCGAACAGACCAGAACCGCCGTAAGGCCAATCTCGTTTGAGAGCCTTTTGGGTTGACTTTTTTAATGAAATTTCGTGAGCACATTCTTCATTAAATGTAAAACATTCACATAAAACTTCATCAAAAAATTCTAATGGCAGTCAGTTAAATAAATTCTTCAAAAATACTGCACAAACATATACATAAAAATCACAATGTTTTTCAACAATTTATTTAACTGATTTTCAAATAGAATTTTAAGCTGAAATTTTGAGCGAATGTGCTACACGTCATGATGAACACGATCACAAATTTTCATCAAAAAATGTAACTCGGAAAGCCCTCAAACGGGCTTGGCCGCAAAGCGGTTCTGGTCAGTCTGAACTGACCAGAATTTTATTATATATATGTGTGTGTGTATGTGTTTGTATTTTAATATATAAAAATTTAAAAATAAAATCAAACTTATAATTTTTTCATTACGTTCATTTTTTTATTCAACATCTACAAACTACAATTCTAAAATTTTGAAACATCTATACCATAGTTGTTTGTGAATAAATTTCACATTCTTTTGATTCATTAAGTGTACGTTAGTGCATAAATGTCAATATTTTCATCTACCTCTCTCATGTAAACTCATGATTCATTGATAGTATTTAGCTATTTTTTCTGTTCTCTCGTGTAAGTGAAAGATTAAATTAGGGTATCAAGGATTTAGAAACTTGCAATTTGTTTTAGTCTAGTGAAAATGTGAATCAAAATATGAAAACTTTACTCCATAAGCGATATAACTTTCGCGTCTTTCCCCAATTCAAAATTATGTACTAACAATCGTTCTACTTTTCCATTGAGCCGTTTTGGTACATGGTATTCTCGAATGTCAATTATCAAATACTTAAATATAATCTCTCTAATCGTTCTTTATTAATTTCTTTGATATGTTATACTCGTATTTGAATGAAAAAATGCTTAAATATACTTAATTATAGTTTGTATAAACAAATATAAAAATTAACACGTTGTCCTTAAGGCCTACTCTATATGTATCACCCCGGATCCATAAAATGTCAGGACCTGCCCTGAATTTTACTATCGTATTTGTTACTACGTATGAAATATGCTTATCGCGCATGCTTGTTATTATATACTCCCTCAGTCCCAATTTGATTTGCAAAATGATTTTCCACTTTCTATTTTAGGTATGTAAATAAGAATAAAGTGACAAATTTACCCTTACTTTTACTTTTTCCTCATTAACTTAAAGGCATCTACTTTTAGAAAGATGGGCAAAAGTGTAAAAAACAAACGATCATTTATTGTCATTTCTTAATCTTTGTCCCGGCCAAAGTTTGCGATTCAATTTGGGACGGAGAGAGTACATAATTCTCAACCATACATATTTCATATCCAATCATATTTCCTAATAGGTATGTCAAGTCAAACAACAAAGACAATTTCGATCAAGCATACAGCATACTCCGTACTAAACTAGTTAGTAGTTAATAATCTATAAATGATTCTTAAGAGAATAATTATCGATCAAGAATAAGTGTGTTCGATATATATTAAGGTCCAAAAGTAATATTTACACATACCAATATTATATAAGTGTCGATCGTTTATTCAATAATTGCAGCTGTATTACTGTATTACTGTATAGGTTATGCTGTAAAATCTTGGTTGTTAACCGGCCATGGATAATCCAAAAATCTTTACTAGAACATGCATCACAATTGTATATGGTATATATACTACTCCGTCTGTCCCATAGTTAATGTGTCAACATATTTATCTATAAATATATACTTATATAATCTACAATAAATTAACATTTGATAAATATGTACTTCGTATTACAATTGAAGAATATAAAATCAATTTTGAGCAATTAATCATCAACATTTAATGAGTTTGAATCAAAAGTCGTACTACTCATAATCTTTTAACTCCAAGTCTCCAATCATGCGCCCAAATTAAACTGCCAAACATGGATTTGGGTAAATATATGAACTCCAATAGTAGTTACTACCTAGTCTCCTAAATGAAATTTCTATTTTTGTTAAATCAATCTTTAACTCTTTTGGGGAAAAGGTTTGAGTATGGTTGTTATTGTATCGACCTTTAATAAGTACCTTCCTCCAGAAATGAAGTCCCATTTGACTATTTTGGGTGTTCCAAATAAAATCTCATTTTGGTTTTTGACAGAATATTTGGAACTTCTTTGGAAAGGCTAAATCAATTGAATCTATTGAAATTTCTAAAATGTTGATTTACAAAACTCAATTTGATGAATTTGTTGAGTTATAAAATCAATATTTTGTTAACAAACTAAGAAAAACCACATAATAAGGTAAAACAACATCTTCATTAAATTAAGTCTATTCAATCAAAGCAATACTCGACTCACAATCTAGTAATGAAATTCAAACGTTCAGTATGTAATTTAGCTAATTTGAAATTTAATATCTATCGGATCACATATAATGTGATTTAAAAGAAAAATAAACTTAGTCTAATATAGAGTCTGTTTGATAATACTAAAGTAAATAGAATTAACTTATTTTGCTGAAATTGATTGAATTCTGGTTAAATAGGTGGAATCTTCTAATCATGAAAAATATATGTGAAATATATTCCATTTGTGAAACAAAGAAAAAAAATATATGAAAAAAGTTAAATTGGTCTTCTGCATAAATATCTCAAGTAAACATAATTGTTATGAATCAAATAATAAAAAAAATCTATATTTCTTAATTGTTAGATCTTACAGTTTACTCATTAATAAGAACGTTTTTAATTGAGTTAAAATTTCAGGTTTGATTTGGTATGAATTAATATGGTCTATTAGATGTCTGTTTTTTATGTGACTTATTGTTATAATTATTAAAGTTTGATCTGATCTGATTTAATCTGGAAATGAAATCAATCCAATTAAAAACATTCTATTAAAATAAAAGTAGGAATTCGTAAACCTATAAAGATTTTTTAATTTGGATTAGGAGTCTATTTCAAAAGTGAAGGCATATTTGAATTTTAGGTGTAAAATAAAGAAACAATCAAAAAATTTACTTATTTGGCTAAGCTAAATATATTTACTTGTGAAAATATATATACTTTATGTTGGTTATCATTTTTAATTTCATTTTTAATTATTTACTTATTTGAAGCTTACTAATTTATTAATAGGTGTCAAATTAATAAGTAAACTAATTTGCATATTTGTTTCTATTTAATTCGGTGTAGTAAACTAATACTCCGTATAAATTAGTTTCCATATCAATAAACGTTATTAGAATTTCACTTTGATAACCTAAAATTATTTTATTTATTTGAAGCTTACCAAATTAATTAAGGTGGATTTATAAGGATTTTTGTTTCCATATCAATATGCAATCAAAAATAGAATCTAATAAAAACAAAAGGTATAAAAATAAGTAAATAATTGTTATATATAATGACATGGCAGGATTATGTGACGTAGCTTTTAAAAAGTACCTCTTTTATATATACTAGTATTTCACCCATGCATGGGAAATATTTTGTATGTATATATAACACACGAAGATGTCATATAACACCATAGGAACAAACAATATATGCACCATAACAATCATGTAAATTTGAAAAATAATAAAAACAATAACATACATATCAAGTAACGTAACTTGTCATGTACGTAGTATATGTTATTGAAAAAAACGTAATGTAACTCCTTTAAAAAAGTACTTTTTTACCTATTTATTGTTTGCAATGAAAATGAATTTTTGTATATGTGTTTATTATTCAAATAGTACATGGTATGTTTATACGATACTATATTACTATGATAATATTACCCAAAATATGACTAATTACTGCCATATTTTGGCAGTACCTGACTTCACACATGACATTAGTTTCTAAATTCGGCACAGTAATTACTCCTATTTTGCTAATAAAAAACACGACAGTCCTACTTTAGAATTTTCAAATAGAAATTACTCCAAATATGACTAAAACTATGACAAAAACTACAAATAGGACTTGCTATGTTTTTCTTTTCAAAATAGGACCATATTAGTCATATTGGAAACATACCTATTTTTCATTCCATTCTTACCCTTCCTTTAAATATGAGTTAATTAAATGTTTAATTCATAACAAATTAAAAAAAAAATCAAAAGTTCGTAAAAAAATAATTAAAAAATTTATAAAATATTTATAAATTAAAAAATTTTAAAAAATTTTAATTTTAATTTTTTTAAAAAAATTAATAAAAGATAGTAAAACTCCGTAAAAAAATTAAAAAAATATGGA